GTGTGTGTGTGTGTGTGTGTGTGTGTGTGTGTGTGTGTGTGTGTGTGTGTGTGTGTGTGTGTGTGTGTGTGTGTGTGTGTGTGTGTGTGCGCTCTGGTGTTTCAGTCTTTAAATGTTCAGACGCTCACTCATCTCTCGGTGCCCACTGTATCCTGGCAGCTTTTCATTTTAACATTAAACTACATAAATTGAGCTTAATGGCTGATAACTGATCACATAATTACTTTCACACACAGTCTCCCTACAGAGCATTCCAGCGAGTCAAACTCTGAAATAAATTAAGTTGAGACTGAGGTCTAATATTTTCGTCCTGTGTCTGTCATCCTCTCATATCGTCCACGCAGGTTTTTTTTTGGTTTTTCTTCCAACAGACCTGGTATTGGCCTTTAATTAAAAACCTCGAGCTGTCAGGAAGTCACGCTCCGGCAGGAACATAGATCTTTCTCACACGCTGCATGGCTTAGCGATTACAGAAATATCGATTTACTGGACGGACAAAAGCCTGCATGTAAAAGTGGACGCTGGGTGGAAACCTAAGATACTGAGAAACTGACTATCTGAGAGTTTGGAGAGGCCCAGGGACCTCGGTATTAGACACAGTAGAAATGATGAAATGGTGGATGAAGAGTTTCTCTGACAGTTGGCCAAGCCAGAGTGGCTGTGCCTTAAAGACGTGATGTAACCGTTTCAGACTAAACTTTCAGGATGAAACAGGTTTTTTTTTTATTTAGAGTTTGTGCATCTTACCTTGATAAACACTGATCAGAACCCAGATGAGGAAAGTCTTGAAAGACAACGAACGCCCCTGAGAGAGAGAAACAATGAGAGCAACTGTTATTTCACATTTTAGAGTTTGCCAAATACACACATTTTTGAAAAGTTTATTTTACCTTGGTGAGGTCTTTGTAAAGCTCTGGGTAGAGGAGAGCCATCTCCGGCTTCACGTCCTGGTCCAGAACCAGAGAGAACACTGGAAACATGGTGTAAATAGTGGCATACCTGCAGAGAGGGATCATCGTATATCCGAGTTACGCCACTGCGACAATACTGGACGCAAGTTTAAGCGATGTTTTGGCAAAGGCACTTACCCAACCATGAGGAAACCCTGGTACAAGGGCACCGAGGCAAAGAAGAATATTGAGGAGAAAACGGCCTGAGGACAGAAAAAGCAAACAATCATGAAATAATCTCATAACGTTTGTGTGTTAGGAAAATTACACAATGTGGAAAAAATGTCTTTGGCGTCATCACACGGAAAAAAGTACAAAAAGACATTTAATTAAAAACAGGCATCAAGAACAAAACATCAACAAGTGTGACTTAACAAGTATTAGTGATCATTCAATAAACATAAACTTTGTGTTGCGATGCTTCCTGTACCTGCATGGCGGAGATTATCATCCCTCTGTGCATGACAAACTGACCCAGCGCTGCAGAACGCTTGTAGCTGTTCCTGCCGTGAACCATGAGCAGGCGGCCGATGTGCTTAAATTGAGTGATGGAGAAGTCTGCGGCCAGAGACGCCTGTTTTCCTTCCTGTTTGGGAGAAGCAACAATGTGTTTCTAACGGGACATACAGCGCCACCTCAATAAAACAATGAAATAAACAAGGGTGTAAATTGAGTTTTAAAGGAGGCACGGACAGTTTGTTGCTGTTAAATACTGCTTTGTTTGTATTTAGGGTTTATTCTGTTTATTCAAAATGAATCAGAGCTGCTCCGACAGAATCAGGTGACATGAAAACATCTGAGGTCATAATGAAAAGGCACTTTAGTCATGTGTGTGTTTGGGGAAGCTGTTACCTTTCCTTCGATTCCAATCCCACAGTGTGCAGCCTGGATCATGCTCACATCATTTCCTCCATCACCTGTTCGGAAACAGAACAAAACTAAACATTTAAAAAAGCCACACATGATTTTACAATGTTATGGTCAGTGTTTCTCATACTGAGCTTTGGCTGCCATCTTGTGGATAAAGAAGGTAATAAAAGTAATATAAGACGTATGTTATTTTATTTTATGTGTTGAAAACACAATCAACTGGAGCTAGAATGTGTTTGTAGCATCTAACTTAACATGTTTGCACTTAAATAGTCACATCTGGTCACATACAGGTTTGTGGTTTCACGTCATCTGTCCAGATGATTGTTAAACAACCGTCCAGGCTCATCAGCTCTCACCTATGGCGCAGGTTCTGTTGGCCGTGTGCTGCTGGAGGAGTTGGACAATCTGGGCTTTCTGAGTCGGGGAGCAGCGACAGCAGACGACGGCTGGACACTGACACGCCAGCTCCACAAACTCATGCTCGTAATACCTCAAACAAACCTGGAGAGCCACAAAGAACAGGACAAAACACACTGTTTACATGAAAAAATACATCTGCACGCTTTCCTGCTTCATATATTGATCACTTGGACTCTTTTACAAATGAAATTATGTTTTTTAACATGTTCCTAAAGACTTTCATTGAACTCTAACGTATTAGCTTTGGCTGAGAAATACTTTTTATTCTCTCCTCGCCTATTTGGCTGCGTCCTCAGCATCATCTGTTGCACAGAGAAATGTTGTTGCGTGTGTGTGTTGTGTTGTAGCACCTCTAAGGAGTCTCCAGAGATGACCAGAGCACAGTCATGTTTCCTTCTGAAGGCGTTGAGCTCCAGATGGGCCTCTCCTCTGTTCGAAACCTGCTCGAGGGCCACACCATACAATTAGCCACGCAAATATTAACGTGTGTCCTCATCTCCTGTATCTCCAGAACTGGCATGAGCAAAATTAGGAAAAGAGAAAAGAAAAGCAGCGTACTGGTCTGAAGACGTGGATGTCTTGGCTTCTGGAGACCAAATGGGAGCTTTTGGCGATGCATGTAGCCGTCTCGAGCTTGTCCCCTGTCAACATCCAAATCTAAGCAGAAAACAAGATCAGTATGCAGAAGAATTGTCTGTCTTTGTTCATCATCATTATTTTCCTTGCTCACCTTGATGCCAGCGTTTCTGAGCAGCTCCAGCGTGGGCCTGACGTCTGCCTGCAGCTGGTCTTCCACACCGGTCAGACACAGAAGCTCCATCTCCCTCTCTAGACTCTCCACCACCGCTGCAACCTTCAGGGCTCGGTCATGGATGCTGAGCTTCGCCTGGTTGTAGCGATTCTGCACAAAGAAAAGCGGAGACATAAACTAGTGTAAAAGAATAAGTCGGACAATACAGAGAACAGGAAGTACATCGGGGTTCTTCCATACCTCGAAGTCCTGATACTGCTCCTCAGAAAGAGATTTCTTGGCCACCACCAGCGTCCTCAGGCCTTCTCTGGCCATGTTCCCACACTGATGGAAACGAGAGGAGGAAGTTACATTTTCAACTTCAAGCACTTTTGGAAACACTTGACTGAGTTTGAGGATTTGGGTGATTCAAAATAAATGTTTCTGTATGTTTAATGATGTCTCTTCCCCAAGACAAACCTAAATCAAATATAGGACAAATCATCTATTCTATCGGAGCAGCTGCTGTATAAGTACACCAAGTACAGTAAAGTCAATAGCAGCATATTGTTACCAACACCAAAAGAAATCAATATTGAATAACATAGCCTGTGGTGAAATTCAGAGGACACAGTAAAACAAAGGATGGCGGTTTATTTTTGATATGAAACACCAATGGGGCGAATCCGTCCTGTTGATTGGTTATTGACAAGCAGAGCAACCGTAGCGCCGGTTGATTTGACAGTGGGGATATTACAGCCAACACACATCATTAGCACCATTGTTCGAGAATATGACATACTGTAATTACCTCAACTTTATCTAGGTCACTAATTAAATCAAAAGCCGCCCCCGGTGCTAAATGACTCAATAATGCCAATATAATTATGAACATATGCGCACAAGACCTTCGACCACTAAACTGGTGTAGACTCGGCCTGTTGATCGCCTCAATGGATGTCCTCATTAAAAGAGGTTATTGAATGAAACCTCAACGCCATGGACGTCTATTCACACACTTATGTTATCCATGTTGTAATACGTTTCGTTATTTTGTTGACAGTGTCCTTCACAGTGGCTCATTTTATGTTGATTCAGAATTATGAACTGTAAGATTCGCCTGTTTGTTCAGCATTCAGCAAATACATATTTCAGCAATGGCCATTCTCTGTATTTACGTAGTGTAATTATCTCTCCGTGGTAGTTCTCATTGTTCCACGTCATTTCTCTCCGTGGTGATCGATACACTCGAGGGATTCTTGTTTCCATTTCTAAATTAATTTCATAATTTTCTGTTCTCTCTCTCTCTCCCTGTGAAGTCACCGCTCGTGCAAACCAAACACTTCCTGCTGTTGCTTCACATTAAAAGCATTCATCTGGAAAACAAACATGGAGCCTTTTATTGTGAATCTATTAAATGACTTGTTCTGCTGTGCTGCTTTTCCATCGTATCTCTGACAGTGTTTTCTGTATTAAATCACACAAACCACGACTAACAACGGACGTCCACAAATCAACCAGTCTTTAGGATTTTAACTTCAAGCTGTCACGACAAGTGACGGGTTAGAAAAAATATGACTTTAAGTTTCAAAGTGGAGCCGTTACCTCTTCCTCCAACCAGTCGTTATACTGGACGATGCTCGCCATGGCAACATCAGCACCCTTCATGTAGAAAGTAATGTCTCCTGTTGACTCCTCCTAAGTCAAATAAGAAATACAAAATTATATTTTTGTAGTTTAAATTATCTTCCACGGCTTCATGGTTCGATCAAAGATCAAACCTTACTTAAAAGGACACAAGTTTTGGTAAATTAAAATCAGTCAATGCTGAGGTCTGATTTAAATGGTGACTATAAAGACCACACAGATAATAATATAATACATGAGGTCCACACCCTGACGATGATACCCATCCTTTTACTCTCGGAGGTGAAGGGAAAGATCTGCAGGATGTAGAAGGAGATAATCTGTCCTGAAGGAGTCCTCAGCTGCAGCGAGGCCAGGTCTCTGTTGACCAGGGTCAGGCCGACGCTCTCCGTCCACCGAACCAGAGCCACCTGAAGAAAACACACAAATTCTAAAGACTGGAGACGACCATAAACAAGGACATTTTCAGTTTTTGGCATCTCCACATCTATAACTACCAGACAACATGGATTCAACAGAGACTCAACAGTTTAAACACATCTTTAATGGTTTTAGAACAATGTCCAAATGAACATGATGGATTTTTCAGTCTACTGGGTGCCGATCTACTCACTGTAACATTATAATGACAGAGATTATATTTCTCGTTATTGACCAAAATACAAACAAAAGAATGAAGTGTAGTTCTTAATGTATGACGCAGAAATTAGTCTCCTCCGTAAAAAAACATTTAATGAAACAGAGAACATCTATTACTTAAAAAAAAAAAAAAAAAAAAAAAGTCAACAATAAACCGATTGAATCTGGTTTCACGAGACATGAGAGTTACGGTATCTCCAGAGCTGCCGAGTTCTTCTCATTCAGCTCCAGATAAAGTGTTTTTCTGTTTCTCTTTCCTCTTTTTCTCCTCAGCAGGAACTGCAGCCCCCAAGTGAGCGTTCAGCTGCACACGACTCAATCCTCAATGGGTTCATTTTCAATTTGCTCACTCAAAGGTTGTTATTATACTCTGACCTACAAATTGGAACTTCCTGGTAATACCCTATCATTTCTCCCGCTCCCCCTTTGAGCTCCATAAAGGGCTGCCTATATTTACTTAACACGCATCTGTGTGTCATTATCCTGGTGGGTGTGCGTAGGTACGTAGGTACACACACACACACAAACACACACACACACACAGCATGTGCTGAGGATCCTAAACTGAGGTCTTTAATCTACTTTATCGGCTCGACTGAAACTATTTAAAGCCTTGTCAACTTTGATGCAAACTGCACATGAGTCACGTGTTCCGGCAGTAATAGAAAAGACTGCTGCGGACAACTTTACGACAATGGCCGAATGGTTTAAACAACACAATCAATCATTTCAACTGTGTTCACAACATTCTGGTGATCACGTAAATCACATTGGCAGCGCTGCCTTTAAAAACAGCAACTGAAGCTTGTCGTGAAATGGAGCTTCAACAGTTAATCTGTAATAGTTAAACATCATGAAGCAGTAACATTATACCTGATACTAGAATCTTAAATTCTGGAAAAACGTCCCGAGCAACTGAGTCAAACATTTGAGTTCTCACGTACAAGTTCAATGCTTGAACGCAGCTGTGATTCTCACTGAGGCTTCAGTTCTGTCCAATTGGATTTGATTAAGCACCCAATCATTAAACGCTACAGTGAAGCGCTCGTCTGATATTACGAGGGTCAAAGGTCACAGTGGGACTCTGTTCAACTCTGCTGTTCGATGACCCCTGTTCTGACCTCAGCGGCCGGCCCACTTCATCTCCTTAACGATGGCTCATTACATTAGAGAGGCTGAGGAGAGGGAGAGCCAGGGCCAAAGCAAACTATCACTGACAGAGCTACGGTGTCCAAGACCTGATGCAGCAGTCGATTAGACTGAGGAGAGGGAGTGATGAGGAGAGAAGGAGAGAGAGAGAGAGACGGGAAATGAGAGGAGAGGGAAAGAACAAAGAATATAGTAGAAGGGAAAAGGAGCGCTCCACCAACAATCACAGACCTCCACGTCTCATTGTCTCGGAGAGAAAATTAAATATTGATCAATCCGAGCGGTGAGAGACAATGGAGAGAGGAGAGATGGGGCAGGGTGAGCAGAGATATAAATAAATATATACATCAAGCCGGACAGGCAAAATGGAAAACGCAGATTTATCTTTCAACGCCTTTTTATCTGCGTTTTGACGGCTCCACTTGGCTGGAGTTTGACAAAAAGTCTGCAACTCTCACCGGGGCTATATGGTGCCTCACACGTAATGGGTGATAAACATGTCAACGGTCTAGAAGTGGGTGTGTATGAGACGCTGGACTCTCCTTCAATATACATTTAACCAATCTTTAAAAAAAAAAAACTTTTTCCTGATTAAAATCTATCCCTGTGTTCACAGCGTGCAATTATAAGAATTCTCCCTGGATTTCCTCATTGATTCTTTGGATCCATTAGAAACAGACAAACAGAAAGTCTTGAGGACCCTCAGTCATAAAAGCGCCATCTCTTGTGTTAGATGGAGAAAATGCAAAAGTAAAGGAAGCTATGGGAGACGATGAAATACGCTCAACTCCACGAGGAACTCACGACCTCTGACATTGTGCCCATGAAAGGAGCATGATGACAAACCAGGGTTATTTAGGATCAACAATAAAACACAGAGACAGAGAGGAGACGACAGCGTCTGCTCCTGATGTAAAGTCAGGACATTGTTCTTCTGACGGCTGCTGAAGCCGTAAAAATCTCATATCTACCTCATCGGGGCTGGAGGCCTGGTAGGTGCGGTTATCGTCGCTGAAGTCCTGGTCTGCCTCAGCGGACTCCGGCTCTCCATTAACGCTGGTGTGCGTCTCGTAGACAGGCGTGACGTTGTGGCACAGGGCGATGGCCTTAACGGCCTCATGGATGCGGCTGCTGACGCTCTTACGAACCTTCGGGCCGGACTGCTGCGTTTTTCTCGAAGGAGTCGAGCCACTGGTGCCACTGTTGGACGCCGGGGGAGGCACCTGAAATATCAAGAGAGAGTGAGCACTGGGTTCTCTAAATATTGACCTCCTCCTTAAGTGCAGTTAAAGAAGTGGGATCATGGATGTATACAATCTACAAGCAGAGACAACATGTCTATAATCTGTGTGTGAATTTGAAATATATTATTTTATAATTGTTTTCCCACCACATGCAGCAGAACTATAAAATCCCTGCAGGTAGCAGATAAGCAGATATTATAACAAACTCACTCCGACGCAGTGAGGGCAAGTGGAGCATCACCACCTTTATCGTGTCATATCTGGTTCGAGGGCCTTTTTCTATATTCCGCTGTTTTGACATCAACCATCAATTTGACTTGGTGGTGATCAGCGAGCGGGCAGACTGCCCACTGTGCCAGCTGCATTTGACCGGGGCGATGCGCTCTACTGATGCATTTTATTTTGGCTTATGATTAACCTTCACTCCTGCCAGGCAGAGAAGGAAAGGCGATGTAGAACGCAGTGAGGACACAAGATGACAACCTTCACGAAGAGCGAAAGAGCGATTTATAGAGAGATCGTCAAGTTATTTTTGGGAGAGAAATTTACTGTAGTTTACACCCACGAGGAGAGGAAGGTAAAATTATACAAAAAGAAAGGTCTCACAGGGACACGAGCTAAAAACATGTGTTTCAGACAGTGGCTGAAAAGAGGAGCTGCAGCAATGGACACTATGAGGAACGTGCTGTGATTTATGAGCCTCTGAACATTTTCAATAGATTCAAATAATGAACCTGCATATGAGCAGAATATATCTCCTTTAACTGATAATGACATGAATTGAGCACTCATCTTTAAAATGAGTAAATGTTAATATTTAAATAAAACCTCTTTCACATTTCACTGTATCGGTACAATTTTATAAAAAACCTGCGCATGTCTGTGCAGTATTAAAAGGACTAGTCATTTTTAATTTGCTGAGCTTACACATGAGGGTGTGAGGCAGATGGTTTCAGTGTCGACCAGCTGTTCTGGAGCTGGCTGAGAGCGAACAATATCATTCTGTCAGGACTCCAACCAGATCTGAGCCACCCAGTCAGGAAAACACTTACAGTACAGGCAGTCGCTCAGGGACGCTGCGTGATGAATGAACAATATGGTTCTTTCCTGGAAAACTCATCCTTAGCAAAATATAAAAATTGATTAAACTGATCTATAGGGAGTGACGGGAATAAATAGGAGGAACAGGGGAGTGATGTATCATGCGTATTTTCATTTCAACAGATCCGCTCCTTTATAGAGCACACGGTTTTTATCAAGCGACAAGTTTTATATTTAATTTGCTTGGATCTGTCCAGGTTTTCAACATTTTGTAAAATTAATGGGGATTTGTTTAAGTTTGTAAATGCATTTTCACGGTTTTTAATCCTGTAGTATTTTCATTTCTCAATCCCGTTTTACAGTTTAAACAGTTTGATGACTCGTGCTTCACCCAGGGGCGTTAATTTACCTCACTGTGACACGTTGTATTGGATCATAAGACGACTCACCAGTGCATATGACTGGACTATGTGGTTCTGTATCTCGTCCATGGTGTCCGTGCCGTAGGAAACTGTTCCCAGGTGCAGCCGCTTGAAGATCATTTCATTCTGTGTCAGAGTTCCTGCAATCAGAAAACCAATTCATCCATTACAAACCAAAATCAAAAATGAAGAAAAGGCACCACCTATATTCTACGATTGTAAAGTAAAGCTTCAAATACTGGATGGTTGTTGCTAAGGAGGTAAAGCGAGTTGTCGGTTACTGTTTCAGTTCCTCTAATTTTATGACTAATGGGAAAATAAGAAAATTAAATCAAAATACAGCAATAACATACAAATCCACAAATTCGAAAACACACGTAATTCCGTAAATAAATCATCTGCTTAATATCGTTCATGAGCAAAAATACATCACATTTATTTTAGAAATACTGCAACTACTTCTTAGTAAAAGATTAAAAAAAAATACAAATTTATCTCTGACACCACACCCTCACATATGCACACACAGAAAGCCTGGCATTTGTCCCCAGAGGACTGCCCACAATGCATCATGGGACCTACAGGGTGGTGTGACTGCCTTCTCACTGACCTAATCTCATTACCAGTATGGACTGCGTGTCCTCTGTAATTAACAGACAAGACACAACATCGCATCCATAAAGGCTGAGTGAATGTTTAGACACTATGAAAAAAGGAACACATTGAAAATTAGGGCAATGGCTTTGTTTAATGGATGCCAGTTGCCAGAATGTGTGCTGATAGAGCGTAAAGCTGATTAGAGGGCATCTAACTTCCAAAAACACCAGAGCCACGGGGTTAAACCAATTCTAATGGATTGATTGTTTGTTCTTGTTTCCATGTGCTTTAACTATCAACCTGGATAAATTGGCTGTGTAGCTAATCTATTCCTACCTCAGATCAGTGAAGTAAGACAAAGAAGCATGTTAGGTCCAGGACGGGAGTTTATCACGCTGACACACTGGCGAGCATTAGTGAGGAGCAGCCATTTGTTATAGGAGAATCAGGCCGTGATAGTGAAATGATGGAATTCAAGGAAACTTAAACAGAACCTGGAAAAATAAGTTCTTGGTTTGTTTTTTGTTTTTCAGAATTATGCTTATAATGCATTTAAATGTAAGATAATGATGTATTTTTAATTATACTGTTTCTTTTTAACAGCCTACATTTGTGTTCTGTGTAGTTTTGCTTTAATTTAACAAAATTTGGTAAATGTTTCTTCACTGTGGTCGGACTCTCACCCGTCTTGTCCGTCAGCAGATAGACCAGTCGGCCCAGTTCTTCGGGGATGGTGCTGGTTCTCACAACGGTGCCAGGGATGTTTTCGTCTTTCATGATCATCCAGCCGTAGGCCGATTTTCCCATGTCCAGATTGACGCGCAAGCTGCGTACGAGGGGAGAGAAAAAACTGTAATACCGAACAGAAAACGTTTCTATTTTTAAATGCTATGTCGAGCATTTAAGTCTGAAATCACGTCGTCATTAATGCAAACCAACTTGAATCTTTGCGTTTTTTCTTCCCTTTTATGTTTTTTTATAGGAGGTAGGGCCCCACAATGGCTCTTGAAATGGGCCCCCAGACGCTTAAGGCTGCCTCTGACAATAGGCTCACATAAAAGAGGTCATTGTGCAATTTAATAGACTGAAAACAAAGACAGACAACTTTTATTTCAAAGCTGCAATAGTAGATTTTCAAATGAATTTTTTGCATTTAATTTCCAATAAAATTACTGCCTAGACTAACTTTTAGTTTGTGTCCACAGAAAACCGAAAGACAGAAAGAGTTGTACCTGATGGGGATGATGTAAGAGAAAAGCACGATGAATCTGAAGAGGTTGCGGAACCAAGGACCCACAAACCCCTGCAGCGCTATCATGACAACTGACAGAACCACCTGGGCCAGGAACAGGGCCTTGGTGAGGCGGTTCAGCTCCAGGTCCAGTAGGCCGACCTTTGGGGACAAGAGGTCAGAGGTCAAAACAAGAAGATGTTACAGAGTGAAAGTCCTACTTCTTCCAAACTGTTTAGAGACTTTAGATGAATTCTTTAATCGTAAATAATAAAATCTGAGGAGGGGGCGTATATATTGAACGTGAGACGCTGTGAGACAGCTGTGTGTTAAGAAAACTCCAATATTAAGAAATTAAGTCCAGATTGGAGATCAAGTGGAAACTTCATGTCTTTTTTGACAACCTTTTTCTAGAACAGTCTATTTGTAACTTTCCCATCTGCTCCAAAAACCTTGCCACATGCTAAACAGGGAGAAAAAAACAAAGCCAATAAAAAAGACATTATTAACTGCAGGCCTTTGTGTGTGTTCAGCATAAACAAGTTTATTTGTTGCAGGATTCTGTGGAAAACTACAAACATGTCAGGCTGAAGAATTATTCTTAAATGCAGCAGACAGTCAGAGGCAGTCAAAATAGTGAAAGTTCCCATATTGAGCTGGTTCTCTGGAAAGAAGTGGTCAGAGTTGTCTTATTTTTCAAGTGTTTCTCCCAGCCAATGGAGCATGTGGGAAAAAGATGTCAAATAAAGAAGCGCCCTTCCCCTTTCTGGCAGCGCTCACAGCAAAGCCCTGTACACAGAGGGCTTTCATCTGACGCACCACGCTTACAAAAACAGCAGAACATAACATCTCTCCTCCCTCAAATAAAGGAGCCTCGCTGAAAAGGAGGGGAGGGGAAAAGCACATATAAAAAGCAGCAAAATTCCTCCACTGCATAAACCCCCACCAAGCCCATTCCCCTGAGGACTGGGAGAGCTGGGAGACCAGTGTGACTGATTTATCAGTTGCTGTTAATGTCCCAGAAGCCGAGTGTGGAAAAGGGAAGGGTGAGGAGAAGGAGAGGGTGGTATCTCCCCACCCCAGTGCCTCACTACATGGTTCATGGTTGAGCAATTGAGAAAAATAGGGGGTTTGGGTGGATTAAAATGGAGAAAAATTAAGACAGTGCATGCCTGAAAAGCAAAGGATCCCCTTCTGCTTGAACAATGGCCGGTCTAAATTTTTCAGGCTTTGCCCGGGATCAGATGAAGTCATTACTCATTCAGTCAAGGAGAGGGGGGGGAGGACTCAATTACCTCAACCTAAAGATGCTATCAATGAATAAAAAGTGCATATCCATTCATCTCTTGAAAGGAATGATTCAATCTGCCTGCGTGGCTTGTATTTTATCAAGTGTGTGAAATCTGATGAAGAATCGCAGCGAACATGAATATTCACAAGTTGAAGCCTAAAAGAAACATCAGCAGCAGTCAGGCAGCGGCGTCTTGTGTTAGAGCGTGTGACGCTGGCAAATTGAGGAAGTCAAGAAAAGAAACCGAAATTGATTTTTAGTCGAAAACAACTTTAGGTCTCCGCGTTTTTTTCCGAGTAACACAGTTTGAGAGAGATGTGAGGTGGAGCGGAGCGCCGGGAGTTGGACACGCACAAACAAAACAATCATTTTGAAGAGCAGCCTCTTGTCAAACGACATCGTTCAGTCTCTTTTCTCGGAGAGAGATCTGTTAAACAACACTGGGACAAAGAGTGAGTCTGTCCCTCGTCCTGTCAGATTGATCAAGTACAGGCATTGTCCTGGCCGGTGTCACAACAGATTATATGAGGCCAAAACGTTCTTGTGACTTCAGCCGCACTGTATCGACTTTCTCCCGCAATCTCCAGTCTCCATATTGGCACTTCTGACATCATCTCCTTGAAATATTGAATTCCTCTCAGCTGGCGGGCTTTACACAAAACAGTGGCCCCTGCGGTTCGACCGGCCACATCAGCGTTCTTCATAGAAGACGCTGGTGTCAAAACAGCGCTGCAGCAGGAAGGGGTTGTGTGTTGTTGTGCCAAAGAAAACTGTAGGTGTTAACTTTGTGCGTTAAAGTCACACACCGCCTGCGTAACCCAACAACCATCCAGGTAAAATCTTATATTCAGAGTCAAATTTTCATCAATCTCCTCAATCTGGGGGAGAAAAACGCTCGATGGGGATTCAGTGGGATTAACTTCCTGCTGAAAATGTCATTTAAATCCTCGGTTAGTTAATTTCCCTTTTGGTTAATTAGCAACCGGCACTGACCTTTAGCGCTGACAGGTCCAACTTTATCTGGAAAGTCAAGGTTAAAAAAGCACCTTGCCATAGTGATTGATTAGTGATTAGAGGCAGGGGAGCAGAGATGGCATGAGGGGAACTTGGAGCAGATGTTACTTTGTGTGTTCAATTACTCTCTGCAGCTTTTACAAAACATTTATGTTCACGCTGGCATCACCTCACAGGGTTTTGGTACTTTTATCATTTGTTAGAACTCTAAGTAACACATACGAATGGATTTCATTTCTCAGGTCTGTACAGGATGTGTAACCAAGACATAAATCTGAAGCATTACTTAGTTTTAGCCTCTAAACTGTGACGCTCTGTTGCATTTCTTTCTTCCAGCCGTTATTAGACATGAACTCCGGAAAACGTCCGGGAAAAACTTTGACCGGAGTTTTTCTTTCACGTGTGAAGAACGCAGCAGGAGATTCTCTGGTCAGAACAACAGAGACATCTCTAGATCATCCTGTACGACCAAAAGCTCTGGAATCTCGTCGTCTTTCTAAGTTGATGTCTGTCTCTTCTACGTGAATGAATCTTCTTTTTGGTTTTTTTTAATTCAGTTTTAGATTCGTCACGTGTTAAAGACGTCATCAACACGCCCTCTTGCACGTGGTGAATCCTTGTCTGAGTCTTAACTGGAGGGCTGGCGGGAAAAACGCTTTATCTGGAAACGTCATCTCAAATTGTTTTGGGCCTTTTCACACAACAAACTATGAAACGGTGGAGAAATGAAGCAGATAAACTGATAATGAAATTAATCATAGTTAATAATTACAACATCCTCATAATGCCATTATTTTAAGACATTTAAAAAACCTCTCAAACAAATCACAGAACTTGCGGATTTTCCTGCCGAAGAGTGTTCACCTTGTTTTTGGCAAAGGATGTGTTCAGAACGCTTCTGGTCTCTTTGCCGGTGTAGATCACCACCCCTATCACCGTGCCTGCCAAGAGGAGAGAGACAAAGAAAGTAATGCTGCTCATTAACTGAACCTCACCCCCACCATCTCGCTCTCACACACACACACACACACACACACACACAAACATACATGCACACACTCATCTTGGTCAAGTAAGATGAACTGCATGAGAGGAAACACAATAAGGCTGAGCTGAGGCAGTTTTGTCTCATTGCCAATCAAGCCAACAGACAGGAGTTTAATACGTTTAGACTCTCGAGGCCTTCAGCCACCCTATATGGAAGCTCATAAAACCTGATCAATATGCTTCCATCTTTATTTGCCAATTCATTACAGTGGCTTTATTACAAAGGATTAATGGATCATTAATATTAAATGAGCTTAATGGGAGAGCAAAGGTGCTAATACACCTCAATACTAGCCCTGAAATCCCCAAACTATAAAAATGGGAAGAAAGTAAAAATGAGCAGAAGACAGAAGGGGGAAAGTGAAGTATACAGACAACGAGAGGAAGAGAAAAGCAACCAGTGGTTTGAGAGAAAGGAGATAAATCGCTCTCACCGGCTTCTCACTTCAGAAATATTAAGCGATGTGACAAATGGTGAGCGGCTCAGCGTGCGGCTGGGCTTCAATTTGAATATGCGAGCAACTAATTCTCCCATCACAGCTGGACTGGGGCCTGTGAGAGTGTGAATACGTGGCAATCTGGGCCAGTTCAAGTGCTCAGAATGCCGCCGTAGAGGCAATGGAAGTGTCTGTCAAGGAGAAGCTTGTGAGGGACAATGACATTCCCAAGCAGAGATGATGTAAGTCAGGCTTTTTGTGCCTCTCTCTGTGTGTGTGTGTGTGTGTGTTTCTTCTTCCGGTCAAGGTCAGGCCAGAGGAGAGAGCGACACCGCAAATCAATGGTGTGGCCATCAGTGAGAGCGTCACAAACACTCTCAACTGACACAACTGTTTCTGTGGGGGATCGCTTTGTTGAAGCGAGGCAGGATTACCTCAACTGTTGGTTTTCTCAGAGTTATTCAAACAAGCGCATAGCAGAATAAAACGCCTTCTAGGTTTCATGCCGTGCTTCCTTTGTGCAACGAAACTTCAGTGCAAGACCAGAACACAGCCATTTTAAAACAGCGCTCGGAGACATGTGAACAGGCACAGAGTTTGTATTTACTAATTATTGGTGAACATAGTCAGCGAATCTGCCTTGTGGTTGGGAGAATGCAAAATGTGGCTGCAAGGCATCGTCTGAAAAAATGTTATATCTTATTTTAAATTAAAAATTGACTTTAATAGACACATTCACTTACCAGATGCAACGACTGTACTCGCCCAGAGAGTGTTTTCAATACTCAGACTTTCATGGATCTGTGGGTCTGCATCTTCCTACAACAACGAAAAAAAGAAAACTTGTGACCAGTTGATTTTTACCTTTTCAGTAAACCACAGTTTTTAAGCTTTGTTTAAAACCTTATTTTTACTTTATAAATCTGCCACCACCATGTGTGCATCTCCCAAACTCTCTGACACCACAGAGTCACTGAATACTACCCAGTGGCAAAGGAGAGATAACCTCAACAAGGTGAATTTATTTCTGCAATTAGCCAACTGCTAATTGGCATTGCTCAGTGAAGCCCTGGAGCAGATAAGGAAAACAAAACCGAGACCAGCAGGTCATGAATTTTGCTTTTAAACTTAATAAGACCAGTGATGCGTTAAAGCATTAATTCTCTTAAAAAAGAATAAATAGAAAAATCAATAGAAATTTGTAGCTTTACTTTATTAACCGTGTTTGTTTACAGTGGAGTTTGTGGTGTTTCTGTCTCACTTGCGGACTCGTGTCCTCAGCTGAGATGATCTTTCTGGTGGTTTTAAAGTTTAATGTTTTTTTAAACGTAAGAAAACCACACAGTGAAACGTCTTTTGCCATTTTATTTAATGTTTTTGGCAAAAGTTTTACACAAAATAAATATTGTAGCTGAGGAAAACTGAGTTCAGCCGAGCAGATTGGCCCGGGATCTGCTGTGCCGTTAATCTTCACAAGCACCTGACACGGTTGTGCAGACTGTGGTGATACAGTAGTCCCTTTATCAATACGTTGACTAGATTTGGCATGGTGATAGAGGCTCCTTTTAAAAACAGTATAGAGAGAGTGCATGTAGATGAGATTTCAGTGATAAATATGCCCCTGGAGAGCCTCCTGTTTCACCCTCCCCCATTTCACCCCTCTCACTTAAATAAAGACAAATGCAGAAAATGGCATGAGTCAGGCGTGCAAGAGTCAAGGCTCCAGTTTCGGCTCAAATGGCTCTCCTGATATGATAATTATGATACCTAAGCACCCACATCCTGTCAGTCCACTCACACATGGGAAGAGATGCATGAAAAATAAATGGCAGTTGGCAGCACGCTTGACCGCTCTGACATTGGCATCATACGACGGTGTTCATAACTGCCGAGGGTCTCGCTGAAGAGAGAGAAACCACAGAAACAAAGCCACAATATCCGCCTTAAGGAAAAAAAAAAGAAAAAGAAACCCTCATAAATAGGTAAGTTCATTTGCTGCGGATCTGTGGGAACCCATTTTTTTCCCATCCTGCTCGGACTAAAAGCACACGCTATGCAAAGGAAGGCCGCGGAGGATGAATGAGCGGAGGAAGTGCTCGCTCACTAAGCCTGGTGTGTGGCCAAGAGTGAAGACGGGCCACAAAGCCTCCCTTTGTACTGGAGCTCTCCTCTCTGTGGGGGCTGCACTAATCTCCTATTAATAAAAAAAAGAAAGGAAAAAAAAAAAAATCACTGAGCAACAAGCAAGACGGGATGGATGGAGCTGGAGCTGCGAGAACCTGCCTGTGATGTAAGAGGCATGCCTGCTGGAGATAACAACGGGCCCAGATGCACACACAGGCGCTCATTGTTGCCGCTTGTCAACATATTGCCGAGATACACATCTTCTGCGTAGGCCCAGTTTCTATAGGAAAATCTGCATGTGTTTGAGATTTGTTTTACAGCTCATAAATACGTCAACAAGCAACTGTACCCTTGTGAAGTTCCCCTCGAAGCTGTGGATGTCCAGCTGGGGCTTCTGGGCGTAGACGTAGGCGCTGATGGAGAAGAGGTCCTGAGACAAGGAGACATGACAGAAACACAGGAGATTTAAGTCCTAACCATTGTGAAGTCTTTAGATTGTAAAAATGTTGCAGAGATTTAAAGTCTTTAAATGTCTGTAAACTACTCCAATGAAGAATGAAAAACCATCAGTCCTTCATATGTTTCCTCTCAGTCATCAAGTAAACACGTTGGACTGCAGCCTATGACGCGTCAAGAACTCAACACCCGCCTTTTCACCCATAGTGGAACAAAATTGATTGTAAACATTAAATTATTCAGACAGGCAGTTGTGCCTCGGCAGTGACCGCTCAGCCCTCGGTCGTGCTCAGATAGTGTTCTCCTGATGAGAGCATGGGCAGAGCCGTTAAAGAGGAGCAGGGAAGATTATTTTACTGAAACCCCAGCGGAGAGTAACGTTGATCAAGCGTCTTTCAGGCAAAGGCTGAGACACTGAGGGTAACGTGGCTGGAGAACTAAAACAACCACGATGAACGCCCCGATCTGAAACACACGGGGCTCGCAGTCAAGTTAAAAAGTGCTGCTGGGATTCAAACAAAGGATTTTTAGTAGTTGCGAACAGACGCTCTTTTGTTGAATGACCTGTTGAAACTTTAATTCTCTGATCACATTAAGTGCCGAAAGAAAAAAAAAAAAAAGGAGAAACTCATCAACTGAACTTGAATCTTGAGTATCGCCTCCAGTTAAAAGGAAGCTGCTGTCAGGTCCAGACTGTCCCTGCTGTCTGTCATCAGTGATTAGGTTTCCATCACAGCACAGACGTCTTCATTTAATGAGCAATGCTTTTAGCGATAACACAACACTCATTCACGGTTTGTCTGTTACCAGAGATTCACTGCATTGTAACGTATCCATACCCCCACTGCAGGCAGTCGCTGCGTGCAGCCGACAGCAACTTTCAGCTTCCAGTCCGTTTCACCGTCCAGCTGATCGGTTCTGATGAAACACGACCCTGAGAAGACAGATGGAAATGTTGTCACGATTGTTTTGTGTGTTACGGTTTGCGCTGCTCACTGAAAATTAATAAAATCTGATTCTTAAAGATGGCCACTTCAAACACACGTCCCCTCCCTGACATTAATAAATATGAGCCTGTGTAAAACTGATTCCCAACACTTTAGGACAAAATAATCATGTCCTTGCATTGTTTATTTATTTTAGATTACATTATATGTCATTTGACTGACACTAACCTGTGCAGGGAAACTTTGGCCTGTTTACGAGTGTGTAAACGTCATGTTAATTTAAAGAAACGACACGTGTTTAAGTGCATCACCGACCGTGCATTAATACAGAGCCCGTAACACAGAGACTGCGGTTGTTGCGGACTCCGCCAGGTCCGATAAATGTTGAGCAGCGGTGACCTGCATTGATCTGAGGTAATATTACATATGAAACTGATGGATGAGAGCAGCTATTTGACAGAGGGGGTAAAGGGCAGCTATAAACCATCCATGGAGGGTTAACTACGACGGAAAACATTAACACAAGGAGGATGATTCATGCTTTTCTTCTGCTGCTGCGGCAGTTCAGCTACTCACATAACACTACTGCAGTGTGTGCGGTGAATGTGAAAGACAAAGTATATGACACTGTGGCTGTGAGTGAGTGTTTATGTATGTTTGTGAGTGTGTTAGAGGCATAAAGACATCAACAACTCCCCGTCAAGCTTATTGACACATCGGAGATTGATGGAAATGATGTCCTCAGAACATTTCCTCCCGATGCCCCTCAGAAAAGAGCCAGGATCTCGCACAGCGCATTGATTAATTGGAATTTGCATCATCAGTCACTCGAACAATGCAAAATACATCATATGAATCACATGCTGCCCTGATCGGATGATGTCAAAGGACAGGAAGTGCGGGAAAAAGTCACATTTCTCACGCAAAATGATCTTGACAGTTTTAAAGTGCCACAGGGCAAACAAAGTTCAGCAGTGCAGCACTCTGTCCGAAACACAGCTTATTGTTGGATTACTCAAAAACATTTTAAGGTCTGAACCTTCTATGTAAAGTGCTGTGAGATAATGTACGTTAAGATTTGGCGCTATACAAATATAATTGAATTGAGTCTGTGTATTTGATACACTCAAGAGAGAAAGAGAAAGAACATTCGGGGTGAGGAGTGGGAATAAAAGAGGAAACGTTTAACTGTGCATTACTTTGCACAATGGAAATTTTACCCCTTAGATTCAGTCATGTTCAATCTACTGTGTTTCACTCAGCACTGTTTACAAATTTGAGAGCATGGGCTGTGAATCAAACTGCAGGACTTGTGGGGTAAAGGGTCATTTTGAAACGTACTAGCAGGCTCATTATTTTTTTATTTCCTCCAGTACTGTCAACCTCACTTTAAACTACACAAGCTCTTCGCCTGCTCACCATTTTTCTCGGATGTTCTCAGGAATATCATGTCTGCAGGAATCCTTTGGTTCTACAAAAAGACAGAAAAAAACAAAAAGGGTGTAAATGGCAGCGTGTTATTGAGCACTGTGGCAAAAGCCCTTTGAATCCCACTGAATAATTAAACAAGGTCAATACCTTGACCAGAGAGTGAAGGAGAATCAGTTTTTTTTTAAAGTCTGGCTAACGTACTAATGGAAATTTAACTTGTCCACTTTCCAGCAGCAGCTAGATTTCATGTCGGCTGAGCTGAAACCAAAGATCACAAACTGAACAGGTCGAGTGTTGTTGTCTCACAAGTGCATTATCAGTTTCACAGCCACAGCTCCAGCATAACTGTAATCAACGCGGTGGACTGACATTTAAAATATAATTATATCATTCTGCCTGTAGCACCCAATAATCTATTTTCAATTCCTAATACTGAATGCTTTAAAATCAAAGGTTTTACCTTCTCAACAATGATTAGGTCTCCAACTTGTATGTCTGAACTCTTCACTTGGACTTTACCTGAGGAAAAAGAAAGGTTACATTAGAGAATTAAAACATTTTAAAATTAGACTCTTCCTCCTAACGATATGCTTTAAATTTTTAAATATGAAATATTATGACGGCACTGATTTCTCATAAAACCAATCCTTGTTCTGCCTCTTCTTCTTCTCTCACCCTCTAACAGACTGTTTTCCCTCAGCGTGATAAAGTAAAACCCTTCTGTTTTCATCTCTGGTCTGAGGTAAAAGACTAAAACGATGGAACATGGGGTCACTCTCAATTACATTGCCTCAGTATCTGCTGCAACCCTCCTATTCTTCTGCTGCTGCTCGTGCACATGAGCACACACTTCAGCCACGGTCACAAATACCACACAAGGGGATTTCACCACACGTTCAACAAAAGGGACAGATCTTAGATCATATGCTCTTGAGAAGAGAGAGAAAAATCAATGCAATTACAGGGAGACAGATGACTTCAGTTACAAGTGTAGATCCAGTGGGGTGCTGTCTCTAAATTGCACAGGGGGCAGCTTGGCCATGCACTGGAAATATCCATTATCATAATGTCAGCAAACAGTTGCTGGCACGAGGAGGCGAGTGGATTGATATCTGTCACTAACCTCTCACTGTGAGCTTGCTGTACAGTTGGGAGTTCATCTCTTTGTCGCGCTGGTAGCGTCGCATTTCGTCCACAGCCTCTCGCACCATTGTAACAGCTAACACGAAAGCCTGACAGACAAAAGAGCATTTTTTAAAACACACGTATCTCACCATGATCGATAAGAAAGGTTCATTTGTACCAGGCACACTTAAGTAGAAGATGTTTATTGGAGTTTCATCTCCAGACACTCAAAGATGAAATTAACTGTGTCTAATATTTTTCAAAACTGGAGTGCATTTACCAGAGGTGCCCAGTACGTGTACAAGTATCCGATTTTCAGCGATGGCACGAATTGGGAGCAGGCCACAACCAGAAAGTAGAGGTTGAGAAAGAACTTGAACTGCTGGTAGAGAACCTGAGAGGAGAGCGAGGAGACGAGGATTTAGCGAGGTGAGTGAACATGTCAGCGAGGTGAGTCAAAGACAATGACAGCTGGGACAACCAAGCAGGAGGGATGGGTTACTGCACATGCTCGGAGGTGGAATTAGATACATGCTAATGCTCTTAACTTTACATTAACCTAATGGAAACTCAGTTTAACAAACTGGCATCAGGGTACGGATTTCATGACAGAGGTAAAATGTGGATTAGTTTAAAATATCGTAACAGACAAACAGGACAGAGAAGCACAATAATTGAAACATCACATCTCCGTTCCAAACCTGTTCATTTGGACAGATTCATATAAACTGTTTATTCTCATATTGATCCCCATTATCACAGCTAGCTAGCCAAAGGTGTTAGCAACATGTTTCTAGCCATTTTTGTTAACGTATAGTAGCAGAAAAAAAAATACACCCCAATGAAACCACATTTAAAATTCCACTAGACTTAGATTTGTATTTGGATTATTATCAGTTCCTCAATTATGATAGATTTGTTTCATCATAGGTGAAAGTGTAAAAACATCCTCTTGATGGTGCAAAAACAAAAGAATTCCTGGATCCACACAGGATGTTCACATCTTGGCCAATGTGAGCATCCTTCCACCAAGTGTCAGGGAAATCCTTTGAGTCGTTTTTGTGTAATCCTGCTCACAAACAAACAAACCAACGGGATGGAAGCATAACCTCCTCGGTGGAGGAAATGATTGAAGAAGAAAGAACAGACAAACCCTCTTAATTCACTTATAGCAAAGTGCCACCTGTAACTTATTGAGGGCTCTCTGATAATGGGCTATCCATCAACAGGCAGCCCTTAGTGTTCTATTCATCTAAGGTCACATTTTGAATAATGTTTGCAATAATGAGAGTGTAGCGCATCATCCATTGATCACATTGTCTCTGATAATCTGTGACTAGACACTACAGTTAATGGACCCCCTGACCTTTAGGGGGGAAATGCTCACTGCTAAACTCAATTTGTGCGTATTTAATAATTCAAAGTGGAAGGAGAGAAACAGAGCTGTTTTGTTCACCATCGATGAGAATATCTATGTCTCTAATAGACAGTTGACATTTTATAGCCCAGGCCAGAGGTGGCCCTCTTAATCATGGAACCTTTTGCTTTTTAATAAGTAACTGATAGATCCCTAATGTCCCCTACAGTGTACACCCTTCACTCCATGACAGAGGAGTTAACAATTAGATCCAGTGTGGGCTACTGTGATTTACATACTGTTAATATGTGAAACGATCAGCAGATTTTAACCGAAACGATGCTGTTAAAGTTAATAAGAGCGGGAACAAAAGCCACAACTGGAGCAAAGATCAGACCCTAAATTGTGAGTGTGTTTACCTGAGATAAAACAAGCTACTTGTCCGTGTTGTTCTCTGAAAGCTGACTCACCCCAGGCACGAAGGTGAAGATGTTGTACTTCTGGTTTTTGATGCCATTTTTGGGATACTTCTCCTCACATTTCTCCGGACAGCCGAGCCATACCGTCCTGGCCTTCAGCTCCTTCTTCCTCCGAAACACGTGAACCAGGCAGTCGTAGCAGCTGAGAGAAGAAAGACATTGATATAGGTTTGTATATATTTATAACATCAACTGAACGGTGCTCAGTCGTGGCTATGAATAGTTTGGTTGCCTACACCAATAACTCCCTGAGTAAAGGTTGTAAACCCTGACAAGAGGCCACGAGATGAATTTGAGGAGTTAAGAGATGATTAACCAGACAGCAATGTGAAAAATCTGAAATTTCCTCTAACCTTTGCCATTTCGTGGTTTATTACTGCACAACTATACGACTTCTGGACTCTCAACTCAATAAATAAATGGAGAGAGCTCCCTACGGTTGAACAGTTTGCATTCGTAACATTTATGCCAATACATAAATAATGAGCTCTCACTACAGGCCATGTTCTTAACAAACATCAGGACCTCACAATTCAACAGCCTCATTCCTCATTCATTTTCTCAGCCGTTAAATCAATTGGTGGCGACTGGGCACCACAGCTGTGCCCTGCTACTTCCTACAGGACTGACGTTATTAATTCTATATCTCTATAGTCCTGTCACTGTTAATTAGATCTTCAAGGTTTATTTAGGCTCCAAGTTATTTGCTTCTACCACATTGAATGATCTGAAATCACACAGTAACCCTGGAGAAGCAGGTATTCAATGTGTATGCAGACAAACATACCAGCGTGTTTCTTTATTAGTTTTGCATGTCGAGCAATGTCCGTATCATTTAAACTATATTAATGCTGTGATACCATCAAAACTCCAAGAAGAGATTAGTGAAGTTGCAGATTGTACACTGACATTTACTTTTGAAAAAGTATTTGACTTTCTATCAACCTGCTAATGACTACATTGGAGCTTATCTAGCATATCTGATATCAAAAGCAAACAGCGGTGCAGCGTGGGGGTAAATTACAATGAGAGCAGCTCGATGTGAGCACGACCTAAACTGGCACCTGGGGGGGAAAGAGGGACGCGTGTCAGTGTATACCGTCATGCTGATCGACTTGGCTTTTCCACTTTTTAAGCAAGTTGGCAAAACATGAAACTAAATAAATCAACTTTGGTAAAAAGTCTTGTTTGTATTGGCCTCGACGTTCCCCGTCTCTGTGCACTCTGAGTCCAGATTCATAAGAGCGATTATTTGAGCAAATGAATGCTATTCAAATAATATGCCATTTGAACAGTCGGGGCTTATTCACTGTGAATTATTTGTGTTTTATAATCCCACACTAAGCACACATAAAATTACTGGAAAGCATCAAACTGGTCAGCTGTGAAAAATCCGATTTGTTCATTAGTGGGGGGATGGGGAGGGGGGGATCAATATGGGGCTTCAGCTGGAGATGCATCACTAACAACAAAAACCACACCGGGAAAAAAAAAAAGAAAAAAAAAAAGGAAAGAATATTCTATGAAATTCCACCAACGGTAAATGTGACTTTCGGGGCAGTGAAGTGCTGCGCAAACATTTGTTTATGAATGTGACACTTTATTGTTCTGGCAAAAACAAACACTCGTCTCTTAGCCAGAGAGGAGCATCTTTAGAGGACGAAAGCTGTCAAATTAATCATTAGCTGGATAAACCGCCCTGTTCTGTTCTGTGACCTGAAAATCTTTTTGGACTGATGGTGCGCATCAAGGAACTCGACCAAAAATATGCCCTTATCCTGTTTTCACTTCACGCACAGCTGCCGGTGCGTTTGAAATCCACACTGATCGGCACAGGCGACATTATACACTACACATACATTTACTGAGAGATAACACACACACACACACACTACTTTTGCGGTGGTTAAAGAGCAATAACTCTGATCTTTAAAATGAGTACAGCAGTCATTTACTTCAGGTTAGAAGCAGAACATGTCTGTGAACGTTTCTCATACAATACCTGACCTCTAAATCAAGGCTGGCAGGAAAAGACTGATTCAAACATTCACATCGAGCCGCTCTGGAAAATTTCAGGAAAATGTCTAAACTGTAAAAAGCTCCAGTGTCCCAAGAGAAGAATGAGACCTGTGCATAGGTTCTTTGTGCCACCATGCACATATTTCTGTTTCAATATATTGTGAGTGATTAAATCGTTAATAAAAACTATTAACAACCGAAATACCTGCCACAGAGGACCCTCCACCCTCCGCAGAGGAACCAGCCGAGGCCTCTCTGTCTCTGATTGACTCTGGCCCGGGGCAGTGTCTGGTAGTCGCTCTCATCGTTCTCAAAGCCCTCCTCCGACATCATCAGAGGCATCTCATCCAGGTTAGAGGGCTCATCCTCTAGAGAGTATCTGTGAGGGTGACAGTAACACATTAACAACCTCAGATTGGAAATGTCACGTCTTATGCTAAGAAGTACACGCTAGAACACTGCTCAGGGTACGACAACAAAACGCTTTCTGTCTTCTATTAGACGTGACATTATTCCTTGTGATGTTAGTAGCACTGCAATAGAAAGACTTTTCTCCACTACTGGTGAAAACGTTCAAATTAACAAAATCAACACAATAGCGCTGTCTGCTTTCAGTTTTCATCTGTTATTTTCATATAGAAACAAAACTTTAAGCTGCTTCCAAGTTAACATACTTCATTCTAAGAAGGTTTCAGTCAGACTTCACTTTGAAATGAGACATATTCTGCTCATATCATGGTTCAGAATTACATGAATAGGTTTATATAATCTTAGGTTCTGAAAACATCACTTTCCTCAAACTGTCCATTCTTGCAGCTCCTCTTTTCAGCCTCTGTCTGAAACACTTGGTTTTAGCTTTGGTCTCTTCCTTTTTTTCTTTTTCTTTTTAAACTCAAATAGAAAATCTACACTCTCTCACTCATCAAGACCAGTTAACTGAAACTCATTTCCAAATTTGAGCCAAAGCAGAAATGGGACGGGACCATGGGGACCACCGCCCCGGGTAAAAATGAACAAACTGACTGCTTCCTTTTACTGTCAGCGATGTTTCATTTGAGCTCCTGAGTAAAATTGTTTGGGTAAGAAATAACAGGAGCCAGAGCCAAAATACATCATGTAACTCCACCTTTTCTTTCTATTCAATCAAAAATCGATTCTGAACCAAATCGTTAAGTGCGTGGGTATTGCTTTTGATCAACCTGATCGATTTTGACCAGAACTAACAACAATTGCATGTCGTAAACGATAACTGTCAGTTGGGTGTCTTGAGTAATGGATGGAGAAACATGTGTGGTTTTTCCTCATCTTTATTCTACAGCGTAGTCTTTCAGTTTGAGAGCAATTACATTTGTCATCACTTCACCTGGCATTCTATTGGTTGGGGGATTTTGACAGACTTGTGGCGCAAAACAAAATCCGAATGCAGATGAAGAAATCTGGGAGCAGAGAGGAAATCCTAGAGCAGACGTTTCGCGTGTGCACAGACGCAGTGTGATGTGAGAAGAGCTGAAGCTGGAGCAGGAAATCTAAGCACAAATAGGGTCAGTTTTAGAATGACAGCATTTCAAAAGCTGAACGTGAAATCAGTAAGACCACGCTCTTGAAAAACCAAACTCTGACAAAGATTTTTTAAAAATAAGACACAGAAACACAGCCCAGTAGATTATCAGAGCAATACAATTTAGAAATAACAGAAAGTTTTGCAAATGGATTCTTTTTTAAATAATAATTACAAGGAGAAGCACGAGAAGGATAAACGATGAAACACGGTTCTGTTTACATCTCATAACTGTTTTGATGAAATTACCTTCACATTAATCCAATCACTTGATAATTCCTCAGTATTTTTTTTGTCATTTTTCAATTTCAGTTTGATTCGTTTAGCCCCAAATCATAACAGACATTATCTCAGAGGCACGTTGAGGTCGAGACTTTGAACCTTACAGAGAAACCCCACGAGAAAACTCATGAACTGGAGGAAACACCAGAATCAGTGTGTTTCATCTGCTCCATGTTCATCAGTGAACAGACACGTTTGTAAGAAGTAAATCTGAAATCTCAGTTTATATATAAATATAAGAATAATCTCGACCTCCGAGCTGCTCGTGTGAGAAGCGACTCACCTGTTGAGCGATGACCACAACAACACTGACATGTGACAGAGAGTCATGTGACTTTCAATTAAACGTCCCTAAGCTAACAAACACACACAGAGGGTGTCGATGTGTTTACATGAGACCAGTGAATCTGGATTAAACACAACACGTGTCTTTGTGATGTGATGGTTCGACGACAGGGAGTCGCTGTCAAAACACCAAAATGCGCCTCAGCTGTTAGCTTAGCAACACAAGCTAACAGCCACCCGGACACAGTTCGCGGAGCGGGGGGACGAACGAGGCGGGCCGGAGGGGAACGTTTGACCCGACCGGCTGTCCCCTTCAGCCCGCGGCCGCAGACAGAGCCCCGCGGGGCCGCCACGTACCTGGAGGCTCTGGCCGAGTTGTAATACGTGATTCTCTTCGAGCTCTTCCGCACCGGATTTAACGGGATGCTGTCGGCCATCTTGGCTGGGCAGCGCGCGTGATGACGTCACATCGGGGAGAAAAAAAAAAAAAAACAACTCACGTACGCTCGGGTTCTGTGTTGCGTTCATGAGCCCAGCGAAAATATCGTAAATATGACTGTCGTGAAAAGGTTGCTGTTGTTGTTGTTTTATTGCTTTTAAACTGGTGTTTTTATTCTTTTATTGCGTTGTATTGTCTTTCATCTTATTGTTTGAATTTGTAATTGCATCGGATGGCATCTTATGTTTTTACGTCCGCAGCTCTTTTACCTGTTTTTTTTTATCATTATTTTAATAATTGTTAATTTGATATATATAACCCAGAAATTCTGTCACGACACATTAACAAACAAAATATAATAAATAGTAGGACACAGGAATGTAACTGCTTTTGTTTATTGAAATTTTTAATCTTAATTCATTGTCCTTCCATCTGTTTGTCTGATTTGATGTTGTTGTTGGTGAGCCGAAGGCAATTTTCCACGTGTGGGCAATAAATAAATAATTTAAGCAAATGTAGGTGATAGTAAGTGTTACATTTTAAATTTGTGATTTCCCGGAGTCTTCCAAGGCAGCAAACAATATTGGTTTAGCGTTAACCAGAGGAATGTTGTGCAGAATATAACTAGACTGGCTTTTAATATAGTTCATACCTCTGCCAAGGCCAAAGAGTTCCCTTCTGAATTTAAATTCACAGGATCCTGATTGTGATTTAGATCTGCAACAAGCGTGAATATCGGTCCACTCACTATGCCTGATAAAGGCCTTGGTGGAAGTAACAAGCAACTGTCCTCACTTGGTTGAAAATGAGCTTTAAGTGGTTAAAAGGCTACGAGATTTGGTTGAAAGCTTCTAAGTTATGCAACCTTTGACCTTTGAGACAGTTTCCCCTTGTTTTTTATAGTCATCTTCCTTAAACCCACACGTTGGCTCATCAGCAAGTCTTAAGCTGGACACTGTGACTTTACTTATTTTCCATTTAAGTGGCAGATAATACTCCAGATATGAAGACTGTGTTTATTTTGAACATTTTCCACTTTCTGATATGCTCCCTCCTGATGATGGAAATCATTTGCCTGTTTGAAAATGACTCATCCTCCCAGTAGAGATGGAGAGTGGGTCATAAAGTCATTAAGTTTGGAAAAAGATAATCACTAAACTGAACTATGTAAACTTCCACATGGTGAAAGAAAGAATGCTTCAGCTTGAGAGGAGCTGTTTCACTGCAGCCTACAACACAGACAAAGCATTTGGGTTTGAGTGATCGTGAGCACACACTCGATCGTGCCTGTTTTAAATTAAATAGGAAATAAATGCACGTTAGCAAAAGTATTTCTGCAGATAAAGAAAAATGAGAAGTTATCAAGTGTAATGTGTTTAAAGCAACATATGAAATGACATCATGACAGCTCATCCATTGTCAGTGTTTTAACAGTGAGGAACTGAACGTGCACTCTGTGTGTTCTATTATTTTATTCGGTCCAACCTGTTTGTTTAGGAACGACAACCTCTCGCCAAAACATTTACGACAGACCATCGCAGTGTGGGATTGTGGGTACTCATGAGCATACTTTGTGCTTTGCACCAGCTAGCAGCATTGGGCAGCTGTCCGGAGGAGAGAGAGGGAGGGAGAGCAGACCCTTTGCATTATTGATCTGAACACATGTTCCCTTCTTTTGAGCCATCACTCGTCCAAGCATCATAGGAATTCTCAGGTACAAGTTAAACAGCGTCTTAATGTATAGAAAAAACATTCACAAATGACTGCAAAGTAAAATAACAAATTGTGAATATCCTACTATTCTCTGTCAATTGATAAAAGTTCTTTTTTAAGTCTATATATAATACATAAGAACAAAGAAGATGTTTTACAAATATCTTAACGTCCTTAACAGTTTGCATATTTCATCACCGTTCAGCTTTAATCAATTTATTCCAATTTCTTTGCTGTCATCAATCAGCATAGAGAAATGTCTGTCCATGCTCGTCTTGGTGAGACTGGTTATGGGGCTTCCTGCAGTGCTCACTCTGTCCATGCCTGCAGTCAGAGGGTGAAGCTGAGCGATGCCTCTGTTCTGAATGACCGAGATCTCGTTGTTCTTCATCGCCAGGCTGTTGGTGATCGCTGTGGCGTAGCGGTTCCAAAATCCGGGGTCTACGTTCATGGCTCGAGCTGCCAGGTCTTTCTGGAACATCTCGCCAAACTTCACAGCCTCCCCACCCAGCAGGGCCATGGGGTTCTCCACCGACAGCCGCCTGCCTCTCCTGGCTGGTGCGTTGTTCCACATGTGAGTTCCCATGTGAACCTGGGAATGACATGAAATGAATTAAGTAGATGTTCTCTTTCTAAAAGACAAAACATATTTGGCACCGATGGTCCGAGTATCATCACCATCGAATTTTGATGCAAATCCAGATCAGGGGGTGGATCCAGGAATTTTTTAATACATTTCTTTGACATCCAAAAAGGAGGTGTTTTTATTTTTCACTGATTTATGAGAGAATATTGATGAAAAAAACTGAATTAAAGGACTGATGTCTATGGGTTTGTGCATTTGGTTGAAATCAAAGGGTCTGTTATGCTCTCTATGGAGTGAAATAAGTTTTTTTTCAATTCTTTACATGTTTCATGGGAGGTCAATGGTCAATAATACATGAATCAGCAATAATTTTGAAAACAAATTAATTATTTAAGTAATTTCTAAAGCAAAATGCTTTATTTTATGATTTCTTGCATTTCTGGTGAGATTTTTTTGTTTAAGGTTAGGTTATGCCGTTACTGTATATGTGGCATTAAAATACAATATCACACAAAACTAAATGGGGACCAACTGCACAAGTCACAAACAAAGTTTTTATTTTAAGATGTATTAATTATTCTTATGTTTATTATTATTTGCTATTAAAATATGAAATGAGGATTGAATCCTAACAGCAGAAGAGATAAGGATCTGTTATCTACCTTCAAATTGCCTTTAGTGGTGAACGCTCTGCCGCAGATGGAGCAGACGAACGGTTTCTCTCCGGTGTGCGTGCGCTCGTGAATCTGCAGAGCGCTGGCTGACGAGAAGTTCTTCCCACAGGCGTTGCAGTTGTGCTGCTTCGGTGGCCGTCGAGGCGGCACGGGGCCGAGCAGGGACGTCATCGCTGGGCTGCTGACGGACGGATAAGCTGGGGGGATGTGGACGCTGAACGGTGGGTGCGGGCCTTCGGACGTGTTGTTCGGTTGACTGTGACCGTTCACCTCGGTTTTTATGGCGGTTGATGATGTGATGGTGACCAGGCTGGGGAGGGTTTGACCTGCAGCTGAAATCAAAGTGCACAAGTGTGAGGGTTTCTCAAAATGCAACAATCACGTTGATCAGGAAAGATAAGAATGAAAATAGTTATGTCAACTGTACCTCTGTCTCTGCTCAGCTGGAAAGACAAACTGTACGGAGTCTCTTCTTTCACACACAGTTTTCCAGGTTGTATTCCTCTCCTCCCCTGAGCCGCTGCAGCCGATGATGCAGATGTGGGAGACTCAGGTTGCTCTCTCTTCACCGACGCTGCCAACGGCTCCTGGGATTCTGGCCCCTGGTTTTTCACTGCAGGAGATTTGATCGTTATTCCCTCTGAGTTGCTTTGAATAGGAGACGAGGACGCATGAGGCGAGCAGGAGGATTCTGACACGTTGGGGCTGGAGTTTTCCAACCTTTTCTCTGACAAAGTACATTTAATGTTCAGTTGGCTGCCGTCATTAAAACCGTTGGTCAGGGGTTTCATACTGAAGGCGTGGTTTAGGTTTACAGTCGAGTCGATCATCCTCATTTGGTTCTCCAGAGCTGCTAAACTTGAAACGATGGCAAACGACCTGGGAGGAGTGTTGCAATCAGAGATCAAGGGTTTAGAGGGACTCGCGTCTTCTCTCATATTTTCTACCTCTTCTTCCTCAATATCATCCTCCATTGAAATGTCATCGATAAAGTCATTGCTGTTGCTGCTGAGACTGTCAAAGTTCTTCCCGTTGATGGAGGTATCGCTGTCCATCTCCTGCAGTCCGTCCACAAGGGTCGAGTCTGGAATCTGCCCGACCATGTGCATGCGGATATGCTGCTGCAGAACAACAGCGTTGGTGAACTTCTTCTGGCAAATAGGACACGAGTGTTGCACCTGAACCGGAGGATTTTCTCTGTGAACGCCGATGTGCGTCTTCAGGTTACCTTTGGTGGTGAAAGCCCTGCCGCACACTTTGCATTTAAAGGGCCTCTCCCCGGTGTGAATGCGATAGTGCATCTTCAGCGCACTCTGACAGCTGAGGACACGGTGACAGAGCACGCACTGGTTGGGGTCCGTGATCTTTTTGTCGATATTCTCAACCAGCTGCTGAAGCTTTGAGGTTTCAGAGGTTTGCATAGAATCCAGGAGGCCGAGTGATGGGAATTTAGTTTCCTCGGAGTTGAGCGACAGTGGCGGGGAATTGGGGACGGGCGACGCTGGGGTGACAGGTTCGGGTGTAGTGGCCACAGATGGGATTGTGGAGCTGGCTGTTTCTGTCAGTGGGGTGGCTCTCAGCCTCAGGGTGCAGCTCTGAGGCAGGTGTACTCCCTCTGCTTTCGGTATATTGGATGCTTCTTTCTCCAGGTTAGACAGTGGAGACTCTGAAACAGGAGAGAAATGAGCCTCACTGCCTCTGTGGTTAGGTGACAAAGACACACATTCACCAGGAGATGGCTGGTAAGGAGACTTAACGGATGGTGTTACACTTACAGGGTCATTTGAGCCTCCGATACTGGTAATAGTGGAGGACAGCGGAAGACCCATGGTGGCTGGGAGAGTTGCTACAACAGGTTTGCTATCCAGCCATGAGGTGACGGGTTTCTCCGGAGGGAGGGACATTCCGTAGGGAATCCCAGACGTTGTTGGCACATTGTCTAGATATTCTGGCACTGGGTAGGGGTTCATCTGCACATGAGGATACTTCTCTTTATGCCTCTGGAAGTGTACCTTTAAGTTCCCTTTAGTGGAAAAGCGATTGCC